CTGGGGCAGGAGGGGCAGCCGTGATTGGCAGGCCCCCAACCAGCGGGGCTAATGCACCAGCAATGAGATAAGGCTTATCTGGAAATGTCCCTGGAATCGAGACTCTGATGGAAACAGGCTTCTGGGTTAATATATTTTTGATAGATAAAGTCTCGTAAACGGGAAGCCCTGGGGGCCCAGGGCAGGAGATGGGGCAGCTTCTGTTCTCCCAGGCCTCTTGCCCTGCCGGGGTGTGTGTGTGTGTGTGTCCCAGGTATCTGAGTCTGTGTATGTCTGGGCATGTGAATGGATCTCGGTCTCGGGTGTGTATGTATCTCTGAGGGTGGTCTGTCAGGCTGGAGATCTCTGGTGCATCTGTGTGGGAGTGGGGTTAAGAAGAGGGGTGTCGGGTCCAGTGTGCACAGGGTGGCAACACATGTGTCCGGGGCCACAGGGACTTGCAAGTGGGTGGGGCCTGGTCCCCAGGACCTGGTGGGACAGCAGAAAGCTCATTGCCCCCGTTCTATGGACCCAGAGCCCCCCTCAAGGTGAGCCAGACCCTCTCAGTGCCAGCTCACCCTAGGGCTGATCCAGGCCTCAGGCCCTCCCTGCCTCCTCTGCCTTCCCCCGGGGTCAGCATTTCCAGGTCTGCTTCTGGAGCCCAAGGCCAGTCCTGCTCACAGCCTCCCACGTCCTTGTTGAGCTCTGTCTGTCCTCCGTCACCATGACTGGGGCGAAGGGAGGCCTCTCGCTGAGGGACCACCTAGGCAAAGTCTCGAAGAAAGAGTAGGAGTTGGCCAGGGGGAGGAGGGTACCGTCCAGCAGGGGGCACAGCAGGAGCGAGGGCTCCAGGAGAGCACTTGGTAGGGCCTGCGTGAGGAGGGATGAGGTCATGGTTCCCAGTCTCCCTCCAGCCCCTACCGGGCCTCCAGGAGCCTCCACATAGGCAGCCCTGATTAAAAAGAGTAATTAACACTTGGCTGATAACAGAGTCATGCCATTAATTAGCCAAGCTCAGCCAGCACCAGGGCTTGATTGCAGGGAGGCAGCGGAGGGATGCTGGTGAGGGGGGCCCTGCGTACTCCCTTGGGGGGCGGCCGACCCCAACTCTGGTCTTGCGGAGTCCCCTGCGGGAGCCCCATTCCCTTGCTGAGTGCCTGTGGGGCGGGGGGGGGGGGGGGGGGGGGGGGCAAGGGAAGCAAAGGGGGCAGCTATGCAGGCAGGCTGGGCAGGACCAGAGGCCTTGGAGGCTGCTGTCAGTGGCCTTGAAGGGCACGGAGGGGCAGGGAGAGTGCCTCAGGTCGGGGTTTCAAGAGACCCCTCTGGACCCCAACTTCCTGCCAGTTCTGGACACTCCTATGCTAAATTTCCAGGGCTTGGAGATCAGGGCCCCAAGAGACCTCAGGGCTAGAGGAGGACTCCCAGGACTGGCCAAGGAGCCCAGGGGAGGCGGCAATGCAGGCTGAGCCCTGGGAGGAAGAAGAGGGCTCTGGAGAAGGTTTGGGGATTCAGCATCGAGGGGTGGAAGCTGGGAGCAGGGACAGATTTGGGAAGAGACCCGGAGTTGGTCATTCTGCATTTA